GGGGTGAGAGGGAGCAGGGAAAAGAGGGAGAGTTGGGTGGGGAGAGGCTGCAGAGCAGGGGCTGGAGAGCAGCCAAGCAGTGGGGAAGTGCTGGCATCACCTCTGGCTGTTCCTGCGGGACACTCGTGCGCTAGGAGGAGTGGGGGAGGGGAGCCAGTTGCACTGGCAGGGGAGGTGCTTGGCCCTCGAGGAGCCCAGCAGGACACCACAGCCCAAATCCTTGCCTGTGTTTCTGTGCAGAGACTCACGCTCTCATTACACTGGTGGGTGCCCGGTTTTATTCTGCCTGACACCTGGATCTTTTGCAGTGCAAGGAGAAGGGAGCGAGGCCTGGCAATGTTGCTCGTGTGTTATATTAACGAGCGACAGCTCGCTTACTTCCCCGGCAGTGTTTGCTAAGTGCCACGACGAGACGCTGCAAACACTGCAAACCACTCAAAGCAGCTAGAACAGAATAGGAGGGGGAGGGCACAAGAGCTCCTGCGAGGCCACTGAAACACACAGTCTGTGTCGGGATGCAGAAGGGGCTGCACCTGGCAGGATTAAAAACAACCGCAGGGGACGTCTGCCCCCAGCTCCTTTCCAAGCGGTTTCTTCTAAGCCATGCTGCATGAGAGAGCATAGGCCTGGGAGCAGTAAGTGCTCCAAGCCGTGTTGCCATGGGCCCCATCCGGAAGTGCCTTCTCCCACTGGATAATAACAAAGTGGGCAACCTCCAAGTGCTCTGCAAAGATTGTACAGATTTTAGGCCCAGAGGAGATGGCTCGATCGCCCTGTCTGGCCTCCTGTAGCTCACAGGCCAGAGAATCTCCTCCAGTGACCCTGAGCTATGCCCATAACATCTTCTGGAAAGGCCTCCAGTCTTGTCCTGGAAACCGCACCACTGGCCTGGGTAGGCTGTACCTGTGGTTAATCACCCTCACTATTAAACCAAACAGGCCTTATTTCTACTCTGGCCGTGTCGGCCTTCAGCCTCCAGTTCTCGCCCTGCCACTCTCCATGCATTCAAGTGCCCATGAATGCCTGAGATTTTCTCCCCACAGGTGTCCCTAGATGCAGGGAGCCAGGCTCAGAGAGAGGAAGGAACATGCCCAAGGCCATAGAGGACATCAGTGACAGAGCCAGGAAGGGCAAACGGGCTCTGCCCTCCCTTCATCACTTTATACCCCTGCACAGAGAGCCCTGATGTGGGGGGAGGGGCATTGCACTTCTATTGGGCTTGCACTGAAGGGTTTATTTTACAAGGCCCCTCCTTGGTGCCCTGACACCCTTGCCAAGTCAGACTGAAATACTCCCCGCCTTTTCCTGCCCTTCCCAAGTCCTCTCCCGACTTCTTCCCCTCCCCTTCACTGAGGCGGGAGAACCGTCTTTGAGCAGGAGTTTCTCCAACTGGGCAAGGACTGGGAGTAGGAAGAAGCAGTGAGATGCCCCAGTCACAGGTGTTGTGTGTGAACTCTGAGGCTATGGCTGCACTACCAGGCTATTTCAAAATAAGTTCATTTGAAATAATAACTCCTGAAATAACGATTTCAAAATAAAAAGCTTCTTCCTCTTCACAAGAAGGAGTCGTTATTTCGAAACAACAGGCTTGGTAGTGTGGACGCTCGCCTGGTTATTTCGGAATAACTCCCCAGTGTAGACATGCCCTGAGGGAGCAACGAGTCAGCTATTCTTCCCACCTGATGTGTCAGGTGACTGCAGGATTGGGGTCCCTGAGCAGCTCACATGGCTTCATGGCTTTGCATGCAGAGGCAGCTCTAAGCAAGGCCAAATTCATGTTTCCCATGCCACGAGAATTCACCCTTCAGCCACCCAGCTCCTGAGCTCTGGGTGCCATATTGAATGGGATATCAAACAAAGGCCTCGCGCAGCGACAACTTCCCCTCCAAAAAACCAAGTCACTCCCAGTAGGGAGGGGACCAGACTGGGCCATTCCACTCACAGGCCTGGGTCACATTCTTTACTCCGTACTCGAGGGGGCAGCAGGCCTCTGACAGGAAACACTGCAGCCAGCCACCCACCCGAAGCCCAAGTGCCCATCACCTGCTTGACTGAACAAGGGCTGGCTTTGGAACCTGGGTGCCCTGCAGTGGTTAATTACCTGCATCCTGCTCCAGAAGCCTTTTAAATCTGCACTTGAAAGGGAATCCTCTGAACTGTCATTCATGCTAAAATTCGACACTCTACACGTGGGTCTCAACAAAGACACTAACTATCTTACCCATTACAAAGATAGCTTCCTCAGTTATCACCTCTAATACCATTAGCTCACAGACATCTACATTCCTCCGCCCCCCCCTCCCCCGCCTCCCTCATCCCCCTTCTGTTCTGAAATGTGATTTGTCCTTTTCATATGTGTTCACTTTTTTTTAATTGTATCCTTTGGTATATACGGTTGTGACTATTTTCTTCCACTATTTGATCTGAGGAAGTGGGTCTGGCCCACGAAAGCTCATCATCTAATAAACCATCTTGTTAGTCTTTAAAGTGCAACATAGTCCTGTATTTTGCTTCAGCTACACCAGACTAACACGGCTACATTTCTATCAGTATTTCTACCTACATTGTATTAAAATAGTGTCACACCAGGCTGTGAGGAGGGGACTTTGCCCTGACAGCCCCTCACTGTCACCAGATAAAGACACAGATCTCATAGAATAATAGGACTGGAAGGGACCTCGAGAGGTCATCGAGTCCAGCCCCCCGCCCTCAAGGCGGGACCAAGCTCCGTCTGCGCCATCCCTGACAGATGTCTATCTAACCTGTTCTTAAATATCTCCAGAGAGGGAGATTCCACCACCTCCCTTGGCAATTTATTCCAATATTTGACCACCCTGACAGTTAGGAATTTTTTCCTAATGTCCAATCTAAACCTCCCCTGCTGCACTTTAAGCCCATTACTCCTTGTCCTGTCCTCAGAAACCAAGAGGAACAAATTTTCTCCTTCCTCCTTGTGACACCCTTTTAGTCCTGTATTTTGTTTCTGCAGTGGAGGGTGATAGGAGGCAGGGGGGTTCTTCCAGCCTGTTGTTCCACTAACAGTGTTAGCACTTTCCATACACACACAGCCAGGCCGCTCAGCGCTCAGGAAAGGAAGAGCAGTCTCATGCAAAAAGCGCACATTGAACATGCACAGATTGTGATGCACACACACTTCTGCTGGCCTGACACTGTATCCAGCAGAAGGCAGCGCTGCCCAAAAACATTGCCAGAGAACAGAGAGATACACCCAAACGTATCACAGTATTAGTATAATGAGGAGCCCTGTGGCACTTCAAAGACTAAGGCTATGTCTACACTAGCTCGTTAGTTCGAGCTAGGTAGGCAAATGAGGACAACCGGAGTTCCAAATGAAGCCCAGGATTTAAATATCCCGGGCTTCATTTGCACCTTCCCGGGCGCCACCATTTTTAAATCCCCCTTAGTCCGAACTCCGTGCCCGTGGCTACACGCGGCACGGAGTAGGTAGTTTGAATTAGGATCTCTAATTCGAACTACCGGTATACCTCGTTCCACTAATTCAAAGATGCAGGGAGAGGGGATGTGATGGGAGGGAGGCTGGCAGGGAGAGAGGGTGTGGAGGGAGGCTGGAGGGGACAGAGGTGTGAGGCTGGTGGGAAGAGGGGGTGTGATGGGAGGCAGGCTGGTGGGGAGAGAGGGTGTGAGGGGAGGCAGGCTGGCGGGGAGAAGGGTTGTGAGGACAGGGAGGCAAATTCGAACTAACAGATCCAAACTAAA